TTGATGTTGTTTGCTTCCTGTAAGTCTTTAATAGTCAGAGGACTAATTTCTTGGAAACCTTTCCTTTCATCTGCCAGAAGTTTTTTGCGCAAACTAACGAAACCCTTTTGTTTCAAACATTCTAACTTAGTATGTAAAGTTTTAATAAACATAATTAACTTATCAGGTGGACAGTTACTGATTAAAAACTGAGTTTTTTGATCGGGTAATTTTATGGTGGCTTTCCCATCTCTGATGAACTTTTTATGGATCACAACTTCTTTAACACAATATTTCAATTCTTTTTTTTGAAGTTGTAATTTCAATACGATTTCCCTAAATTCATCTCTACCCAGGTAGAGTTCTATGTTTTTATGTTGTACTTTCTTTAAGACAGTTCCTGTATTAGACAGTTCTTCAAGGATCACTGTACATGCAATACTACAAGCATCCATCTTGGTTTCTTAATTAGCTGCCTGAAACATACAAAGAATTTCATTAAAGAAAGATTCATTTGAACCTCATGGCTACTTTTTTATTACTGGTTTCTAGAGACGTCTGGTGGCAATAACTTTAAGAAAGAAAGTACCCTAACAACTATATTTTACAAGGATTAGAACTTATGGATCTTTCCTACCAGCTGGTCATTGTCCAAACATTTGGCATTGATGTTTCCCGGATCATACCTCCCTCTTTCCAGCTAGATCGACTGGAATTATGAGTTAAGATGAGTAATTCAAGGTCATCAGACTTTCACATGCTGATCAAGATCGAAACCCACAACCACCATTTCTTTAGGGTAACCAGACTAATATCAACTTCAAGATAGTTCTGGTACTGGTAGTCACAAAATGACTCAGTTGATAAAATTATAAGTTAAATGCGAGCACACAATTAATTGTCATTAGATTCTATCGCTTTGAAATTTGGTTTTATTTTTATTCGGTTTAGTAGAAATTGAACATTTTGAAGGAAAGGGGCCATTCAAATTCTCATTTCATAAACAAAAGGGAGATTTGAAGAAAAAAAAGCAGACAGAGGAATAAATATTTAAAGTGCATGCATAGGTCAATTCCCTGACAAAACTTTCATTCACCTGTTGCGATTTATAGGTTTTATTTTAAATTATCTTCATCTTCTTCTTTCTTTGAAATTATTTGTAAACAAAAGCCTTTCATATTTCAAGCTCTTAACCAATCAGAGGTCATTTTAGAAATTTCGAGATATGTTCACCAATCAAACACCACGTAAAAATGTAATTCTACTTCCGGTAAATCAGCTGTACTGATTCACTTCGTCTTATCATACCTGATAGATTCACCTAACAAGAAAAATGCAAAAACCACAAAGAAATTAAATTTTAAGTGTTATTTGTATTAATTGGTTAAGGGATAAAGAAACCTTATTGAACTTGCAGTAAGCTTATAATAAAATAAAATAATAATAATAAAATAGTAATAAAATATTTCAACATTTCTAAACCACCCTATATATTACAATAAAAATTCAGTTTGTTAAGGCATAACGAACTTGACCCACCGGGCTGAACTTTGTATACACATTCAACTAGCATACAGATTCGGGTCGAATCGTCTAAGCATACACATTAGCGGCAAATCGACCCGATATGAAATCTGAATATGTTTAAAATAACTTAAATTTTTTTTATGACAAATACACATAAGAATTCTTTCAATTTAGCAAACACCTATATGTCTAACATCGGACTGAACTTAACATACACATTAACTAGCATCCAGATTCGGGTCGAATCGTCTCAGCATACACATTCGCGGCAAATCGACCCGATATGAAATCTGAATTATTGCTAACTTAAATAATGTTAAAATAACATAACAATTCTTTCAAATTCGCAAACACCTATATGTCTAACTCTCTTAGTCTTTGTACTGTGGCCCATTTAAGACATAATTTTTTTTATGGAAGCTGAAACTTACCAAAGTTAAACAGCAAATTAAAAGGCTTAGCCGTCATAGGAACTTTTTGAAATCCATACCATACTATCTCACACTAGTCCTCATTCGAAATATCAAATCACCAAGTTGCTGTCTCCCTTACTTTTTGTACGGACGATTATTCTGGTATAGGTTATATATATGTCGATTGGTGTATGTCTTTAATGGGCCTCCGTACAAAAAGTAAGGGAGACAGGCGCAACTTAGTGATTTGATATTTCGAATGAGGACTAGTGTGAGATAGTATGGTATGAATTTTAAAAAGTTTCTATGACGGCTAAAATTTGCAAATTGCCCGTAAACTCTGAATATTATTCTACATAGACCATATATATATATCGATTAGTGTATGTCTTTAATGGGCCTCCGTACAAAAAGTAAGACAGTAATTTGGTGATTTGACAATTCGAATGAGGACTAGTGTGAGATAGTATAGTATGAATTGCAATAAGTTCCTATGGCGACTAAGCCTTGCAAATTGCCCGTAAACTCTGAGTATTATTCTACATAGGCCATATATATATATCGATTAGTGTATGTCTTTAATGGGCCTCCGTACAAAACGTATGGGAGACAGCAACTTTGTAATTTGATATTTGGAATGAGGAATAGTGTGAGATAGTATAGTATAAATTTCAAAGGGTTCCTATAACGGCTAAGCCTCACAAATAGTCCGTAAACTCTGAGTAATATTCTGATATAGGCCATATTTATGTCGATCAGTGTATGTCTTCAATGGGCCTCCGTACAAATAGTAAGGGAGACAGCAATTTGGTGATTTGATATTTCGAATAATGACAAGTGTGAGATAGTTAATTAACATCTCATCGAGATCTGGTGGGTGTAAAATTCCGAACTGTCCGAATTGGGTCAGAAAGACATAAAACGAGACACAATTCTGTCAAAGGCCGTGCACAAATTTGGGAATGACGACAAATGATAATTCGAAACAATTTTGTAGGGTCATTTTACTAATATTGACAACCAAATGATATGATTTAAGTATTAAGTAGTTTATTATCACCACCAACAGGGGGAAATTGATTGACAGGGGGAAATCTATACATTATGAAAACGGGGGTAACCCAGAATTTGGAAAAGGGGCACAGAGCCCTCAATTAAAGTCTGCGCCTAAAATGTCGGTCTTTTGCTTTGAAAAGATAATACAGTAATACTCAAATCATTATTTTCCACATTGTTCCAATTTCGCTAACGTTGCAACCAGTGTCTAAACTACCACAGAGACTTCCCTTAGCATTTAGTGAAGCCAACTGACTATGGCTATATGAAAACCTAACGGTCTAACACTGAGCCGTTAGTAAGAAGCCTCTTGTTGAATGGCAAGCTACACAATTACCAAAGCTGTGGAGTAGGGGAGGGGGAATGGGGAAGGAATCTAATATTGGTCTCAATTCCATGGGCATGATGGGTTATTTGCCAGTGACCACTAATAATTAAATCACATTAATTGATTTTGCAGTGTTACTATAACTTCAAATTTGACGTCACCCTTTGATCTCGATGTACCATTATCCAACTTTAGTTCACTAACATAACTTTACTCTAATAAACAAAAATATTATAAATGTGTTCTAAAATATTTGAGTCATTCTGCCACTTATTTGTACTACTCGTCTCGATCGTAGCAAAATTTCATGCAAACACCCACTCTTTCCAACCCCCAAATAGGCCTTGGGCCCGAACGTCTATGTTGAAATTGGTATAGCTCTTTCAGTTTTCAAACGATTTTCGCAATTTTCGATTTTCGTACGACTTTGTATGTAGGTATGCCTAAATGATCTAACAATGAGGATCTCGTTTCACCAACCCTAACCGAATATGGCCATATTTGATCCACTATCTTTAAATTTAATGTGGTTCCATAGACTGTTCTGTTGCAATCATATTTGTATCTTTTGCACTTTTTCGTCCCAGAATTTATTGCCACATTTATGTAGTCACAAAGTCAAAGCTTTTCAGTAAATTTTCTAATTATCTTCTTTGAGCCTGATTTAGGCCTAAAATTTGAAAAAAGGTGAATTTATTTTACAGTAACGCTATATCCCTTTAAATTTCGGGGTAATATTTGGCGCGAATCTAGCAATCATGTTATTTGTTCTGTCAAGAATTAAAGGTCCCCTTCCGTGTAATTTACTTCACAAACATGTGAATTTGGCAATTTTTTTACCTCGGTAACTTAACGAAATATACTTTATTCGTTGATCCAAAGATTTTTGAACAGGTTTGAGACTTTACTAAGGATTTTTAAGTCCAGTACCTCTATTCAAAATTCTTTCAACCAGCCACTCTGAAATATTGGTGGATCTTTTCCTTTAATAATTTATCAACTTTCACCAAATTGACGAGAAAGTGACAG